GGCGTTTGCAAATGTTTCAACTGAAGATCGGCATTATGTTTGTAACAATGCCATGGTACAAACTCACTGTAAATCAAATGAACATCCGTAAAATTAACGCCCTTTCTGTCAGAGATAGTATGTAAATATACATTTGAGTACAAATATATTTTCGATGATATCATTTAAATTCTTATTTTCAAATACATGATTAATAGCGCATTTGCTGTGGCATTTGTGTTGGTATCATAATATGCGTAACTGGTATTTAAATATTACCCTTTTTTACAATAAATATTTCATTCTTTTCTTTTTTGGATGAAAAATATGTCATCAACAACAACAACCCCCCCCCCTCCCCCCGGCCAGTATTTTTTGACTATTGTTGAAATAATTTTAAATGCTTCAATATTTTTAACGGACGCTTGATGCATTACACCATTCTCTGTTTGTTTATGTATAATCTTAACTACCATGCAAAACATGTTGAGAGGAAAAAACTTATCTACAACACTGTTATGCTAATTGAAAAGGGATACTGAAAATAATATTGTTTATAATTTTTCTGCTTAATAATGATAAATAATTCAAAAGTCTGAGAAAGAAAATACCAGGTACAACATTAATCTCATGTATTAATAAATCTTCATGAAGGTATACAACATTGTTTTATTCTGTTTTTATTTAGTCTTCTTTAAGAATCGGCAACACACCCGAGGCACATCCTAACATAAACTATTTCTTCCTATTTCTCTACTAAGTATTATACTGTTTGCTATAACTGTCCATTGCTAAGAACTTTAATTAAGGTTTTATCATTTTTTGCAATATCCTGCACACTACACACACAATTTTAAAGTACAATATTCCGAGAAATAAGTTAATTTACTATTTGAATGCTTTCGCTGAAAACACAGCCACCACATGACCTGCATGTACGTACAGCCACAAACTGCCTTTCCTTTCGAATTATTCAAATATTTTACCCATATGATACAAGTATAGAGTACGAACAACACAAGTATAGACATGGAAAAAGACAGTCCATGAATGCATTCCAGTCTGTAACTAATTGATACCGATATGCGAAAATCAGCTTCACTAATAGCTCTCAGCATAGCGCAAGGAGTTAAAAGGAAGGCTTGTTTTAGTTACACTGCCTGAAATAAGGGTCTAGAATTTAAAAAAAATAGTTTATATGGATATGTTATATAGATTGCACCATATTATGTAAGAAGTACATTGTAAATCAATTTTGCGAATTTTTTTACTGAATAAATTACTTCCAGTTTAAGATTTATAAACTTTTTAAATCCCATCTGAGTTTTAGATTATGTACTTATTAAATCACTATACAACATGTACATGTTAAATAATATACCGCTTCTAATGAAGTATTTGTGCTATAGATGCAGCAGTTAGCTGCATGGTACAAACGTAATGTGTGACGACACGATTAAATGAACTACAATGTTATGAGAAGAGCAAGATACTTATCTTCTAATTGAGAACATCCCTTTACCTTACTAATTGCCTCCTATTATTAGAATTGCACGTAACGCATCATTTCACTAAAATAGCAGAAAGAAGGTCGGGGATTTTCAGTTGCATATTTTTAGAAAAACCAGTGGAGTTATATGACTTGCTTAGTGGCGCTTGATCGCGAACGGAAGTAGATTTACGCTGGCAGAAAGCGCTTAGCGCTTAAAAATCTGACATCTACTTTAATTACATATGCAAATACTTGATTGGTATTCAGTCTATAAATATGATAAATCTTTAATTAAAATAGCAGACATTGAATTTAGAATTGAATTACCTCTCTTTGATAATTGTGAGATCTTCAGTGTGAGAGATAAAACAATCGTTAAAAAAACTGACTGGAATTTGTTTACATATTTATGTTGTTGTTAAAAGACAGTGCTGTATATCCTAGAATTCAAGTAAAATCGACTGTTTTTCCCTTTTACTTTATGTGCATCCAAATTTTAACCTCTGTTTATTTCGAGCGTGCAAAAGAATAATTTTTTATATGTGAAAAATGATGAATCAGGTTTGTTCATATTCTTCGTTGATATTGAAGCATTAGCCTCAGGGTCAAAAGAAATTCAAAATGGGGATTAAAGATAACTTGAAGTATCAGAATTACATGTATTTTAAAAACGTTTTTTAGAAGAAGTGCAGACTGTCTCAGTCAGAGTGATATACCACTGGACTATATAATGAATATGTACAGCTTTAGAAAACATGATATGCCCTTGACTGAAAGGAAAATAAATAATCTATCCTTTATAATAGATACAATTCCCATCCACAGTCACTTTTTTTATTAATAATTTTTTAAACCTGTGGTATGATAAGTTTTATATATGGGTTAAAAATTGTTGCCGAAACAATTTAAGTGTCCCCTCCCCTTCTCAACGAAATAGAGTTTGGATATTTTCTTTTTTATTTCTTTTTCTTATTTTTTTATTTTTGCTCCTGACTTTTTTAGGTGAAGCAGAATAGATAAATAAATAAATAATCAGCACCTACGATCACCTTGGAATTAAATAATCTGCCCTTCACTACCATGAAAATCTGACTCGGAAAAAATTGCCCCCCCCCCCCTCCCCCATTCTATCAAAAGAAAAAAAAATCACAAAATTAAGCAAAAATTCCATATCTAGGGAATGGTGGTTGGGTAGGTTTAATCACTTATGAATGAATCGCTTTCTTTCATTTCTATAAATATCTCCTCTGAACGTTTTACAAGGTATCCACATTTTCGTACGAATGACTCTTACCAATTTATGTGGGGTAAGGTAGTTTCTTTTACAAGATTTTTGGATTTTTGGGTGGAGTAAGTCCTGCATGGACATTGGTTACCTTATTAATTTTAAAAAATGTAAACTGTAGCAAGAAGGCAGGGAAAGATTATTTTCAACATTTTCAAGGACTAATGTTTAGAAATCGTGTTTACTTACGCACCATAAGGTGAAAATTTCCATCAAGTTTACCAATCAACTCAAACCAAGCAACCGACATAAAGAACTGGGCATGGTATGTATAAAGAGACGGCCCTGTAAAATTGGCAAAAATTAAACGCACGATAACATTTTTTGAACTGTGTCAGTTTATTGTTAAGGTTCCCCTTTGTGAAAATCCTCAACTCACGTGACCTTTTGTGTATATAACGTTCAAAACCGGTCTAATAATCCGGAATTCACCTATTTTGGACGGTGTCTTTAAATGCATGTAGCACTATTTTCTCTATGTACAAATCACTCAATGTGGAAAATGTATAGTCTTTCAATATTCTTCATTGCCTATATATCAATACATGACCTTAAAACCGCTCTTATAAGCATTTCCACATTATGCATCAAGCTAAAGGGAAAATGCAACACGAGTTTCAATAAACTGAATATACTGAATAGAGGATACGACATTTACAATATTCCGAATACTAGTACCCGAGTACAAATGCTTTACTAGCATGCTAATTCAAAAAAACTGATTACCTGCTTAAAGAAAAAAGAAGAACTTGTTAATGTACATATTGAGAAGAGGGCTCATGTGGTCGGATGGAGGGGGTGTAGTCGATGGAAAACTTAAAGAGAAGTGGGCGGGACCATATGAATTATGATATAGAATTTCATTCTAAAAGCAAACATGTAAATGCTCTTTAAGATATTGCTCTGAAATGAGAGGTTTTCATACAAACAGAATGTTTTTTTACCTTGACCTTTTGACACTGAACTCAATAGGGATCTTTTTATGTCATAGCAAGTTGTGGTATAAATGAATTGAAAAAGATGGACGGCTACTTGAGATACCACACGATAATAAAATGTTAAAACCTAAACAGACAGAATATATGAATTCATGACCTTAAAATCAATGGGGGGTCTTCCTCAGGTCATAGGGAGTAACTATATGTAATTGCATTTCAAAGGCTTCTACAGACATGGTACCAAAAGGAAAGTGTCACAGAAATGCAGACTGATAGTCGGGCAAACGGACAAATAAATCTACACTAATATCCCCCACTTTCAGTGAAACTTAGGGACAAAAAGGCACAATTTATATACCATTGTGACCTTGAACTTTGACCTTCTGTTCATATAAAATTCAACAATTCATATGATGCTAGTTATTGCCGTCAAGAACTGTTATTTTGTTTATTCATTTGTTGTTTAAAACACAAGTATTAGTTATGACACAGAAAAAAGTTTGTTTAGTTTCCTTAAATTTCCATCTAATTCTGCCATTTTGACCTTGACCTTTGACCCTAAATCATGAAAATTGATCTTTTTCTCTTTGTTTTTGCTATTGTTTACATGTACCATATATCTTAATTTGTTTTAATAAATTTTAAAATACTCAGGTAATTATATGGAAACTGTATGATATTATATATATTGTTCTTGCCTGGATTTTTTTTTTTTTTAAAGTATAAGTTTGTAACCATGGTAACATGAAAACTAAATATGAATACCAAGTGATTCTTTGAAGTTCATATTAGAACTTTATATGGACTTTCAAATCAATGTATTCATTTTTCCCCAACTATCCGCAAAAATTATACCAGGCTTTTGAAAAGAGCCTAAAATCTACATTTTTTTCCCAGAAAAATCCTACCTACAAACGGTGGGATATTTTTTCCTATGAGGTAAAGTTACTGAAATACTAAAAATTATCTAAAGAACTAAAAAAAATGTATTTTGGTAAAAAGGTAAAGTCATGTTAATATCTTGTTCTATTAAAATGTTTTGATGAGTCAAAAAAGAGTCATTTTTCATCAAAATTTAGCGATTTTTAGGCCATGAAAAATGTATGCTGGTTGCCATGGTAACCATGGACCATGGCAACCATTTTACAATGATTTTTAGTTTCAAACATCAATATAGGAATATGTTCCAAGTGTCATGAAAATCCAAGACATAGAGAGCCACACCCCTATATAAGAGTTTCAATGCTTACAGAGAATGGCTATTAATTATGTTCTTAGTTTATTTTTTCTTGCTACAGTATTATACTTCTTTATAAGTTCCAACGCGGACAATTGCATGACAACTGGTTTCGGCATATTGGTAATCATCCTCGCTAGTGTCCTTGCAGCAGGATTTCGGAATCTGTGAATTAGTAAGTTGACAAGATCCAGATGTTGTACACCAAGGTGTAGTGTCAAAGTCGTTGGTTGTTCCAGTAACCTCGTTTACAGCGCAACAGTCATACTAGAATTACAAAAAAATATGGTTATCTAATTTGTTCTCTAATATCTTGAATATGAATTAAGTTAAATTTTCAAAAAAAAGTATAAATTTCGAGATACCCTGTCCTTTCCTTAAGACACAAGAAAAAAGTTAAGACTCCATTAACACAAATAATAAAGATAATCAGCTACATGTAGCACTATCAATAAATAACCAACCACTGTATTTTTACAATTTTACATGTGTAATGTGAAAGTTGATTAACAACTTTTAGAAAGAAATCTTACTAGAGTTCACCCTTCAGACCAGATGTTTTTCATAGGGGAAGGGGGCAATTTATTCACTCTGTCTCAATTTATCAGATTTAGACTACCTCGACTGTAAAAAAAGCTGACAGCAAAATGCCAGGGACCAATAAACTTAATTCGTTAAAAATGTATCTTCAATACATTTGTTCATTTCAAAATATATTGAAACTCTGAGGGAATGCAAACAAAAACATCGCCCAAGCTTCAAATCGTATTTCCTATAATGAAAAAAAAAATGAAAATAACGAAGAGTGACCGATCTCAAAAATGAATTATAGTTAACGATGCAAATCTGTAATGAGGACGAAAACAATTATCCCTGGAAATTCATCTGACAAGAGCAGGTTCCTAGCTTGAAGAAATTAGCATCTGTTGATGACCACGTTAGACCGTAGTACTTTATAGAAAAAAAAGCACACGTTGAAAAATTAAACAACCATTCTTTGAGTATTGCATCAGAAAAACTTAAGCTTGTCTTCTACCGAAAAGTGTAATTTGGTTTCCACTTAAAATTGAAAATACAATAATTCATTCAAAAAAATTGAAACTGATGAAAGTTCATTCATAACTTCATTTATAACTCATCAAGGTCAAATTACCTACCAAAATCAGTACAATATCTGTAGACGCTCAGACAAAAATTGCGAAACACTCTTAAAAGATTAAAAGACTGTTATTCCGTCAAATATTATTGAGGTGTAATGAAATGCAAACTGGAGCTGCAACTTTTCAAGATGCATTAACAAATTCAAAATGCTCAATCATGTCAATATCTGCAAATTCTTAGAAAAAACAGCTGAAACCCAGGTAATACAAACTGACAGACAGACGGACAAAGAGAACACCTATAGTCCCTTCCGGTTTAATCGGTAGGGACGAACAAGTTGACAAGATTGCACAATTTACTCTCTATTAAACTGTTAAAGAAGCATGTGTCTGTCTTCCTACACTTTTGTTCAAATTCGTCACGATCAGCCCATTTTAGACCAGATTTGAATTGCCAAATAATATATTGCAAGGAAAAAGAAACACACGGGAACATAATATGCAAAATATTTTTGATTGTGTGGCCAAAAATTAATATCAACCAAAAATTAATCAACCATAAATTAATTGAATTGCCAAATAATATATTGCAAGGAAAAAGAAACACACGTGAACATAATATGCAAAATATTTTTGATTGTGTGGCCAAAAATTATGACAACTGGTTAGGGGTGTATCTTGATTACCCTCACAAAAATCAGTGTTCAAAACTACTCAAATGTAAAATCTATGATTTCACGGATAAAAAGTGGTAAATAGCCAACAATACGTGCATATATATTGAATGGCTCTATTTTACTTTAAAATTGTACACGTATTTCTTTTTCCTTTCAGTATATTTCAAAGAGACAACCATAGATAAATATATAGTACTTATACAAAAAAACAGTTGCTGTATATAATAATTCTATAACCATTTTGTTGGATGCTAACATAATTTTCACAATTAGGTGTATCGTTTTTTTTTGTGTGTATCTCAATTTTTTTTTATTAGTTCCCTTCCGGTGAAACCGGGGTTGGGGAAGTGGAGTTTGATTTTAGGTATCATCTAAGTCTGTTTGTCCGTCTGTCTCTCTCGCGTTGTTCTTTTAAACGCTTGCAAATATTAAACAATTATTGTTGGGATGTGTATATTAATGAATTACAAAATCAAGTAAAAGTTTCGTTCCGCTTCATTGATTTTTGAAGGAATTACGGCCATTTTAATTTTTGAGGGTTTCCCGCACTTTTTACTTAAACGCTTGCAGGTATTAAACTGATCTTT